ATTTCAGTTTTATACTCCATTTCACAACTCAACAACCCTAATGTAGAAACCCCTGACGAATTTGCAGACTCCGAACTATCTCCATCCAATAATTTTCAAACCAACTCCTCAGTTTTTTCAAAGCCCCCTTTTCAACCAATCCCACCAAATAATCCACTCCCGCCCATTTCTACTCCCTCTTATGCTTCACAAGTAACCCCAACCTATTCTCCATTTCATTCCGACCGATCATCTAATTCTCCAGATACTCCCCAAATCTCCCAAGAACTAGATAGTTTTATCACCCTACAACAACAGCTAATACACCCTAACACCCTCACAATCAATCAAATTTCATCTACGATAGAATCCTCAAACCCACCTACTCCTACACCCTCCTCAGCCTATACTGCATCATTAGCACAATCATCAACATCCACCGAATCATTAACTAGCACTAACCGAGCTTATCGCACTTTTAAAAGAAAATTCCCAAACCATCCATTCCCGACCAAACCAGGAACAGCTCGTGAATATTTTATACATCCACACCACACCAACACAAAAGATTTTCTAGCAATCACCTTACCTTCATTTCCACAATATACTTTAAACACACCTAATGACACTAACGACACACGTAGTTTTGTAGATGAACATGTTTTAATGCCTACACTTCATTGGACAACATATTATCATTTTACTAATCCCCTTTGCCTCCCACTATCTAATACTCATAGCAATATAGAGAAGCATAAAGATATGCTATATAGACTCACCGCAACACTAACACCTAGACAATTTACTTATAAAGGATATAAAAAATCACTAAAAACATTCACTGCACCCCGAGCTAACGAATTTACACTAGAATATTACGACCATAATATCATCCGAACTAATCAAGACCAATTTTTAGATGACGACCGCTTCGCTAACCCACAACTAACAGAAAAATTCTTCATCAAAACATCATATGTATTCACACTCAATATTTTCGTCAGAAAATATGATCACATCATTTCTGAAGCACTAACTGATATGCAAGCTTACGAAAGTTTTAAAGAAAAATTTCAATTATTTTCACTAACCTTTCACTTCCTTGCACCACATTAACGCGATTTGCAATGTTCACATGACATCATGTTACGCACTAAACAAACTCACACATATACATACTATCGCTTCATACAAAATCATTTTGATCTACATACTCCATCAAGACAACCGCACCATCGTTTTCAGTTTCTTAACTCGAAGTACACTTCACCATTTTTTCTAAACTTCACCTATTGCATCAAAGATACTAACCTCCACGGCATCCTCCGCAATTATGACCCAATAACACAAATGTATATATTTTGTCCCATCACGAAGACCTTTAATGCTGAAGAATCCAGACCCTTCCTTATCCCACATGAATTTGTCCAACCTATATAAATCCCTATATTAGAATTTATTCATAATACTAAATACAATCACAAAATATATAATCTCATTCAAAACACACCTCATGAGTTTGCAGTCGGCACCGAAGAACTAAAAACTATTAAAGCACTTCAATTGCTTTGGCAACTGCTTCAAACTAAAAACATCATTCGCATACTAGCAAAGTTACTAACGAATTCCGACATGATACACGACATCTTCCCTCACGGTTTTTTTCCCAGACGATTAACAGGTAAGTATAATTTCAAATATTCCTTACTAATAAATTTAAATTATTACTAACCATTCCTTACTCATGTTTTTTTAAGATTTTTAGTCTTCATACCACGATCATCTGCAAAAAACAGAAAAAAAAAACTTGTTAAAATTATTCTAAACTTCATTAATATTTTCACAAATTAATCTGATAAAATTTATACCAAATGAAGTAAATTAAGTTATTTCCCCATAAAGCAGTAAAATTAATTATGATGAAAATTTATAACTTTAAATTTCCCCCAAAACTAGCAGTAAAATTGAAATTCTATGTAATAAAATAATAAAATAAAAATGCAGTACTAACATTTTGATATTTTCATTCGCTCGCACAAGAATTCTATCCAAACTCGCACAGCTCGCCAACGAAGAATTGTTTAAATAATGAATTTCAGTTTCAAGTTTTCACACTCAACAACTCTAACACACGATAAAAAGTTCCAAACTTTCCTCTAACCCGGTTGGAAAGGAATTATTTACTAAAACAAACTAACCAACGCAGCTTACTAAACACCACAAATCATAAAATAACAGCATGACTAAGAAAAGAAAACCAACGGTACCCAAACCGGATTAACCCAGTTTAAAACTGGATAATTTATTCTTTTGAAGACTATTATAAAGTCTAAGAAAGAAATAATAAAACACAAAAAAGTCGAAAGACAAACCCATAACAAAAACAATTTGATTTTGAAAAAAGGACACAACCAAAGGAACATAAGAAAGACCAACATAAACCCAACATAAAACGTTATCACATAACAGGACCTCTCAAAGAAACCGCACGAAATCATACTCCCACTCCTGGCCTAACCCACCAGAGAGGACGTCCTGAGCATGCTCTATAGCCGGCCTAACCCACCGTGCTACATCCACGCTTTGTGACCACACTTCTATTTTTAATAAGAGGTACTCAAGGGTGAGTAACTCTTCAAAATAACCGAACTAAAACAAAATGCTTTTGTGAAAACAACTAATTAAATTCATAATTTAAAAAACTGAACTAATAAAATTTTTATACAATATAAATTATACCTTGCAGTATATAGATCAGCACACAACAACAAAGACGAACATCCAAAGACAAAATGACCCCACTACACTCGAACAAGAATGGCTAACCACAACCGATATGCCGTCCACAATCACAACTCAAACGATTTAGAGTACGACTTGACTTCGCAGAAAAGGACTTCATTGAACTAGACCAATGACCACCTCGATGTTCAAGTATACGTACAGATCCGAGTTACAAGGCATCCCCTCCACGCACAATCTCCACGCCATTCCCAGACGAGGTTGAACACAAAACAAGTTCTCTACATAATACAGAGAAACCCGTCATAGCAAACCATTTTGAAATCAGATTGATTTCGTTGAGAAACACAGTCGTTGTCACAAGAAGACACAACGATTGATGCCCCTAACTCCAGCGTCCTGGAACTTCTCTAACAAGAGGAACCGGACAAGAATACGATTTTCGCCCAATACCAACGTTCATCATCCATCCTTTGAATTGCAGAAAGATAATTCTAAAAAACTCTGTAAAACCCGGATGGGTGGAACCTGATCTAAACTACATTTTATGATTGGATAAATTAGATATTTTACCACTGTAAAGTATTTAATATTAACCAATCATGATCCATCTAACTAACAACCCACTTATTTGTAAGTGCTGAAATTACTTGTAATTTCAGCACCAGAGAGATTTGAATTTAACTTAGAAATTAGTTGTCTCTCCAAGAGAACTTCAGCAGCCGCAACAAACCAGTATACCCTAGATCTATTGAGCCTAGCAGAGACTAGTTAAACACCCTGAGACTAGAAAGTATAAGAGTAAGATTAGGATCGGTATTAGACTAAGAAGTTGCACGAATCTATCCGGCCGAAAATAAGATAGCGTGACGAGCAGACGGTGTATCCTATCCGAAATTACTCTATGAGTTAACCACATCGGTCTTAACTCAATTGTATCTAATGTGTATATAAAATGTAGATGATAGTCTGTGTATATTTTTTATACAATCTCCATACAGAAAAGAAAAAAGAGTTTTGGATAAAAAAACAGAATGTCTTGGTAATAATTATATCGTAAAAAAATAAAACTTTCGAAAAACAAATGCGCTATACTCTAATATTAGAATTATATAATCAAAGTTTCATTGTTTAAAATTACAGCATAACTGAAATTTGTATTTTTTTCTGTAGCTAACTGAATTTTTCCATGATATAACCTCATAGAGCAGTATTTTTTGGAGATTTGATTCTTCTTTCTGACGCATTGGTATCTATAATTTAGAAACAAACACAAATGTACACTCTTAAAAAAATTAAAACAAAAAAAGTTTCTGAAGTTTTGAAAGCTTACTGAAAAACGCTAGTCATGCAATAGTCAAAATGGTAGAATGCTAATTTTCATAAATTTTTTTAAGTTTATGGAATATTTCACATATATGAGAAATGTATAATTAGCATTTTTAGTCATAATTGGATGGTTTACAAAATTGATTTATAATGGAATTTTCCCAGCCCTGTTTTTTTCAAACTCGTTGAATTCAGTGAAGCAAAAATGGTTTAATTTTTATATCCTTGCGCACAAACCTTCAACTGACTGCTAGAAATTGCAGCAAAATAAGAATCTAAGTTATAACTTAGACAAAATTAAGCACCAACAAGAATAGCCGGTTATTGTGCAACTAGCACAGAATTTTCCGACCATAGCCTTAAAAAATACGAGTAAGTTTATCCAAATTGGTGTCATTTTTTCTGCGTGGTGTGATATACAAAGATCTGGACAGAAAAAGGAATTAGGCATATTCGACAGTCGTCCTAATCTAGGCCCATTGAAGTAAATAAACTTAAAGAATAAAAAATTATAAGAAAAATTTAGACATTTTTGCAGAATTTTTTTGAATTTTTGAAGTTTTTTATTCCTAAAATGACGCTAAAAACTTCAAAAACTTACTTCACTCGAGTGAAACAAATTTTCAAGGCTTAAATTATTATAAGCTATTATAAAATTGTATGTTCACCTTATTAGCTTGAAATTAGACCAAAAATAAAAAAACTCAAATTTTCTCAGCACTGAGAAATTTTTTTTCTAAAATTCTTAATGTTGTTCGAATCACGACTTAAACATCTTTAAAATGATATATTACTTGACCCATTCCGATTATTAACTGCGAAACCTGAAGAAAAAAAACTACACCGATTACAAAGATCCTCTCCATTTTCAATGGTGGGAATGATTACATCATGAGTTAGATCATACACTACAGGTACCCCTCCCCATTTCCTCGTTCCTCTGTGCTTACCTCTCTCTGCTGGTCTTTTTCGTGTCTGGATGCGAGTATGAAGCAGCACTCCGCATAGTGCACTTTGACCTTGACCAGGTCATTGAACCGGAGTGCACTGCCCTGGATGTAGATCACTCTCTGCTGACAGATCGGGTTCTCACAGATACTCTTCACGTATGAGTCATACTCGCCAGCACTCAACAACACCACGTAGTAGTCCTAAAAGCAGGAAATAAATCTATATGGAGTTGATTAAGAAAATGAATAACATACAGGGACTGTTAGCCTTTTCAGATATTTCGAATGAATGTTTTTTTTTTTAAATTTTTTGGAATAGCTGATCTTGAATTTTTCGCGCTATTGCAACTAGAATAAATAGAATCATAGAGTAGTTGAATCATAGAGTAGCATGATTCAACGCTGTAAGAAGAAGAAAAAAATCTGCAAAACTATTCGCAAAACTTGACGATATTTCCGAAAACCTTAACTGGCTAAAAAAACTTAAAAACCAGATGACATCGTTTTGAAACTTTTGTGATTCGGACCGGACCCCTTTGTAGTGAATGTGGCATGTCTTCATGTCATATTTCGCCCCCTTTAATTTTGTCGACACACTTCACTCGAACCTTTTTTGCCGCACATAAAATGTGCCAGTACTTTATAAACACAATTAATTTCTACTGGTATTAAAATTATTTATCTAATTAACTAATTTGTTCATTATAGGGAAAAATTCTGCCAAGAGCTTTTTATTGCAACATTAAGTACCTGTAGTTCGGAGTATGCGTAGAACTCGCTGACGAAGTCTCTCACGAGGTCTTCAGTGACTGTGGATGTGACCAACACCACGTGTCTCTCCTTCTCAGCCCTGTTTCTGCTGTAGGTGCCCCCTGTCTTCTGGTGTTCCGCAAACACAAACGAAATCTGCTCCAGCTAAAAACAACCAAAGGGTTATCATTCAACAAGGCTGCATATAGCTAAACCTAGGTTATAATTATGTGAAACTCATACCCACAGGTTATAACTATGTGACCGGACATTCAGAAGTTCAGAAACGTGCCGAGGGAGCTGTTCAGGGGAGGAGGTGTGGGGCTCCTTGAACTTGATTGCTTGAAATCAATCGCTACCCTAGCCCTAACTAGCAGGTTTGTATGCAAGTAGCACATGATGTTCGGACCACAGTTATCCTTGCAAAAAATATGAAAAAACTGGGTAAAATGGAAAAAGTGTAATGATTGGGACCCCGCAGGTTGTATTGTTCAATGGTCAGAACATTAAGAAATAGATTGCTAATTTTGGGGTCGCGATGGTCCCTTGGCCGAAAAAAAACACGGCAAAGACATGTATTCAAGTTACACAGAGCTGCGTTGTTAGTCTTTGTGTAAAACTGCAATCAAATTCTTCAAATAGTTTTTAATGTTGCCTGGATCTTGAAAAAAAAATGCGTCAGCTGCTAAAACAGACATCGCGACTTCGATAAATAATTCATGTCAGAGTCATCAAATCAATCGTTGATAAAACTTAGGATGAATGCAGAAGGTTTTTACATTTTGTAGATTGATAGTCATTTACCAGCTCATTGATTTTTTACAAAGCCATCTGGCAGCAAAACAAATCAAAAATTCAGACCGAATATAGAAAGACCGTTGAAAAAAACAGCAGATTATATTTAGGGAGGGATCTGCCTTTCCTTAATTTTAAGTTTAAATGTTTTATTTAGGTGACATACATTTAATTGCGCAAACATTTGCCAATGAAGCCCCGCAAAAACTTACTCGACTTGCTTGACCAAAAGAGTCGACTTGTAAAAAAAAACAAGTTTTGGCTTTTTTTTTGTCATGAAAATTTTGGCTTTGTTTTTGTCGTTTCATTCTTCTGTTTTGGGCCTTATTTTTCATTTAGCTTTGTTTCAATTGAGTGGCCCTGAAATGAGGCGCTAACAAAACATCCAAAACAGTGCCAAACAATGCACTTTGTGATCAAATCTAAAATGCCGTTCTTGCACGTTTTTTTTTAAATCTATAAAAAAACCTTTGCTGTTTGTTGAAACCGCTTTTCGTGATGAAGGAAAAACTGTGATATTGCTATGCTACGAGTAGGTAAGAGCAAAAGAGAATAATTGAAAACATTTAATTCTGTCTTTTGATTTGCTTAGTTTTGTTAGAGATCACGTTCATGTGTCTTCTACGATCGCAACCGTCCAAATGACTGTTACGTTTGGCCTGCATGGATGGCGTTGAATAATACTAACAATACATAACAGAATATTAATAACACTTTATCCAAGGTTACTGTGGCAACAGTACTACACAGTACCACATTCCCCTGAGGACAACAAAATTTTATATAATACCTTATAAAATTTTATAAATAGTATATAAGTCTCAGTTTACTAAATTGTTTTCATTTTAGCTTAGTTTTCCTTGCTTGTTTTCTTCATCACTTCCGCTTTGTTTCTGGCAGCGTTCCACGATCCAGACTCATCCAACGATGTAGCTCCGAATTTTCTTTTGAACAAATGTCTCTCTAGTAAGTCGAACGTGTTGTTCTCCAATGTTGTTTCTTTGTTATTGATGTTGAACTTTGCCAGTCTCAATCTGTAGGCCTCAAGTGCTGCCAAATTTAGCTCTGTTACATCGTCCTCACAACTAATCAACTTTACTGAGTGTGATACCGGGCTGCCGTATCTCTTTGGTCCCTGGTTCTTTGTTTGTCGACTGCTTCGTCTGACTGTCGTTGTATCCTCTTCTTTGTCCGATTCGTCCGCAAATACTGCCGGGCTATTGACAACTGATTCCGCTTGTTGAGTCAGTAGTTTTTCTGCTTCGTTTTGTACCCCTCGGGTCAAAACCTGGTTTGTGATTTCTTCCCATTCTTTTGTTGTCATATTGTTATTCTGGAATGTGTCCAGAATTTCCTTTTCACTAGTTTGCCGTGTGATCCTTTTACTCACTGGAGCTTCTTTCGGTGCAGACGACTCTATGTAGACGGCTTCATTACTCGTATCCCGCTTCTTAGATTCTTTTGCTGTTTCAACAGTTTTCGTTGTACGTGGCTCTTGCGTCTTGGTTTTTCCAGATCTTGCACTTTGGACTAGTGGTCCTGCCCTATTTGGCTTAACCATTTTTCCTCCTAGATTTAGGCCCCAGCCCGTCTTTGTTTCTTTTGACGTAACTACGTTTGGCGAGTTTTGAAACTTGTCCATTAGTCGATCGTCTTCTATTTCCTGATCGGTTGGCCCCTGGTCTTTCGCATCATGTTCTTCAGCCGACTCACTATCTACCTTTTCATGATGTGATACTGTCTTCTGTTGTTTGCTCCTAGATTCTTCCCCCGTTGGGCTCCTCTTTTTCTCCGAGCTCTGTGCTTTGGGCTGTGTATGCAGTTTTGATCTCGCTATGTCGCTCTTTCGATATACTGCACTAGCAGCCGTTTTGATTGTTGACGGTGTCTCTGCCACAATTTTGCTTTTCAGCGGTATTGTTAGGGCCTTTCCACTCTTTCTCTGCTCATGTTTTGGGAGGAAGCTTCCTGACCAGCTATCATCCGATGTAGTCTGCTTGTCTTCGATAAATCCTTTTTGCCGTGAGTATAGGAGTTCCTTTCTCAGTTCGGGATTTATCGTGCTCGTTTCATCTACAATTCGTCGTAGTTCGCCATCTGAGATATCCCGACTGGTGACATTCCATCTCGCATTGGCCTCTAGTAGCTGCTTTAGTTCCTTTGCCCTAGCTCTTTCTTTGGCCGCCGCAATGTTGCGTATAAACAGTGGGCTGACGTCCCGGCTATTCTGTCCTTTTCGTATAATTTTTACATTGTCCCTGGATTGATCGATGCGTCTCTTCAACTGCGATGCTGTTAACGCCGATCTCTCCAAATGTTCTTTATCTAAACGATCAGATTCCTTCAGAAATTTATCCCTTACAATTTTAAACTCAGTTTTAGGTAATCGACCAAAGTGCGCTTCAAACGGGGACAACTTCATTGTTTTCTGTTTATTCCATCTTAGGTCCCTAATTATTGTGCTCAAGCACAATTTAATAGATTGTACTTTTTCTTCGAGTAGTATTACTCCCAATCTTCGTTTAATAGTTTGTATCGTTCGTTCGACTAGTCCACATCCTCGATGATCACCGACTGGACAGAATTTTTGAATAATATTATTTTCAGTGCAAAATTTTTTCATTGATTTTCCCTTAAACCCGGAAAACTGATCCGTTTTAATCGATTCTGGTATTCCATGTGTGTCAATGTAGGTACGTAGAAATTTTATTGTTGATTTTCCCCCTGTAGATTTCGTAACTTTGACTGACGGAAATTTTGAGTATCTATCAATAGCAACTAACAAATATATCTTCTTTCCCTTATGGTCTTCAAGTGGACCCGCATAGTCTAATTGTAATTCTTGACCAGGCTGTGTTAACAGTGGAAGTGGTTTGGCCGAATTTTTTGGGATTATATATTTAGCATTCTTACCATAACGAGTGCAACTTCTACACTCTTCAGCCATATTGACTACGTCTTTGTACATGTGTGGCCACCATAAGTAATTGGAAACCTCCAGCATTGCTTCTTGGCCAGGATGTCCTTGATGAAGTCGCCGAAGCACCGCTTGTCTCAGCTTCTCAGGTACGGCTAAACGATTGTCCACCAGTAGGCAGTCATCTACTACCGACATCTGGTGCCACAGAGGATTGGTGTATGGACCCATTAGCTCGAATCCGTGTCTATCGTTCCGTTCCACCACTCGCCTGAGCCGATCCATCCAAGTATCCTCTGATACTAGTTCTGCCAGTAGACTTTTGCCGAATAATTTTTCGAGTGACAGTGGGCCATTTGTTTCCTTTAACTGCTCCGACAGTTGGAAATTGCTTTTCCGCGACTTATGTCCACCTCTCGTTTTCTGTTGCGGTGTGACCATACAAGTCTCAGTTCCTGAACTGTAGTCCGGTTCATCAATGCTGTCCATCGTTAAATCCACCTCAACGATTTGTCCAATTTCAGTTTCATCTCCTGATTGGGTTTGTTTCGGTGGTTTCGGGCTTTGCATCACCGAATTGGCTTCTAATTCCATCGTTGATCGAGGTTTCTCATTCTTTTCCGATCCTATTAGTTCCCAAAATGAAACTAACATTGGTTGGGCTGTTGTAGCAGTTGATGTTGACTGACCACTATTTCCCGTGCCTGTTCTGATTTGTCTGTTCATCATGTTCCAATTCGCTTGTGGTATTTGTTCAAAGTCCGAATTCTCTGATTCTGATTTGTTTGGGGTCCTTTGTATCATTCTGGTTCTTTGGAACGTCGTTTCTGTTATTTCCTCCCTTAATGTGTCTGTGTTATTCCAATCCTGAATTCTGACCATCTTTTTTTCTTTTCCTCTCTTTGCTGTTTCGCCTGAATGCATATTTTCTGATTCGCGATTTGATAACTTTCCGATTTTTTAAACTGATTCGACCGACTGTATTTGCTGACGATTTTGAGATAAACTGATTTTTGAGTTTTCAAACTTTTCTCGTTGAAACGAACGTGAATCTTCATTTCTTTCGTTCCGGTCGTGCTTTGTCCGTTTGTCCGTTTTGGAACGTTTTGGTTGCCATAGCAACGGGTAGATGACGTGTTCTGATTTGATAGATTTTGATAAATTCAATATTCTAGAACGTTTTTGTTCCGGTCGAGCCTATCGTGATCACTCAGTCGACTGTTTAAACAGTCGAGAGCTTTATGAAAACTTTCAATCGATGTGACTACAAATTTTTCATCCAATACTGACTCCGGCCATGGTTCACCTTTCGGGTTTCTAGATAGGTAATCTACTATACCCATATCTTTCCCTGGTAAATGAATAACCTTAAATTGATAGGGTAGTTATCTGTCTACCCATCTAGTCAGCCTAGATTGGTAGGTTTTGTTTGACTTATGTTCATCCAAGGCAGAAACCAGTGCTTTATGATCTGTGGCTATCACGAATTCTTTTCCTAACAAATAATGTTTAAATCGGTCAACAGACCATACTACTGCTAGCAGTTCTAGTTCATTTGTGGAGTATTTTTTTTCTTGTGTGTTTAAATATCTGGAAGCGAATGCAATCGGTATCCACTCCCCCTCCCAGTTTTGTTGTTCCAACGATGCCCCCAGCCCACTATGGCTGGCGTCACATTTTACCCTAGTAAGTAACTTAGGGTCGTAATAATGAATTTTTGTTATATTCGCAACCGCTGCTTTTATCGATTCGAATATCTCCGAATGTTCTTCTTTCCATTCGAATTTTTTTACTTGAATTTTCACACTTTTGAGTTTTTTCTTCATTTTCTTCTCGCAGCAGAGGTCTCAACTTTTCAGTTAAAGTAGCTGCGTTTGGAATGAATTTTGCCAGATAATTTATACTACCCAGAAATTATTTGAGTTGTTTCAGTGAAGTTGGCGGACTAAGCTTCAAAATCGCTTCCGTTTTAGTTATCTTTGGAGAAATACCCTCCATCGATAACTTATGTCCCAACCAATTCACCTCCTGTTGAAAGAATTCACATTTCGACAGTTTTAGTGCTAAGTTTTCTTTTTCCAGCACATTCATGATCAATTTTTCATGTTCTTGTTCACTTCCTTTAGACACAATGAGTATGTCGTCAAGAAAACAGAATGTATTTTCCGCATGGTTCAATTTTCTGTCCATAGCTTTTTGAAACTCAGCTGGCATGTCTGCCAGACCGTAAAATCCGGTCAAAAATCTGTATGTTCCAGTAGCTTGCCCACCTATGATATTAAAATTGCATTGTTTAGCTGTCTCTGCAGTCAGTTTAAGTTGACTGTAGGCATACTTCAAATCTAATACTGAGAAATACAGTGTACCGCTTTCATTTGCTGTGATTATTTGGCTGACCTCATCCAATAATTCATCCACATTTGGCATTTGATATTTGTTTTTGAACAACTGTCTATTTATGGGTTTGGCATCTAAAGCCAATTTTATGGAGTCATCTTTTGTTACTGTTATTACAATTGATGCTATAAAACAATCACTAGTACATTTGTCTAGACGTTTTATATGCCCCTCTTTTAACAGTTTTTCCATTTCCTCATACACTTTCCCTTGTACGTGTATTGGGATGCGTCTCCCTTTTTCTTGTAATGGACAAAGTGGGTATTTGAACTTTGCGCTGACAACGTGATTTTTTGAACACTCTTGACGATCAAAAAGGTTTTTAAATTTACTATAGAATTTGTTTTTCCAACTTTCTGACTGTTCGCACAGTAACACGTCAAACCTCGTCTTTTCTTTCGGTGCCAACTTCTGTGTTGTGTGTATCCCGACTTTGCTCTGTAAATCCAGCCCCAAAATACTTCGCGTGCGTCGTTCTGTGATTAAGAAAGATGCTCTCACCACCTCCCACCCTGCTGAACGGATCGTCGTGGTGATTGCATCCAATATATTAATCGGCTGTTTGTTACAGTCTACAAATTTTGTAATCAAGTTGAGATTTTCCCGTGGAATGAACCTCGTATTTTTTGAAGACTCCAGAATTTGCTTTGCAGTAGCCCAGTTCAAAAATGATACAGGACTGCCCGTATCAATAGTCATATTTATGATTTGATGATCTATTCTCACCAAAGCTTTTAATGACCTTATTTGTTTCGATCGGGTATTTCTGCGAATATCAACCTTCTGTATGTCCTTGCTACTCTTCTTGATATCTCGATTTCTATTTGATTGCTGTTTTATATACTCATCTATTTCTTCCATCGAGGACAATTCTGATTCAATAGCCATAATTTCGAACTCCTCGCACGAGTCAAATGACTGAATTAAATTGCACTCTTCATCTGAGCTGGATGATTTTTCCGCAATCTCATTTACTTGCTGTGACTTACAAATTTTTGCAAAGTGATTTGGTTAGAACAATTTTTACATGTTTTGCCCATGGCCGGACATTTCTTCAAATGTCCTTCCCCAAATGGTCGACCACATCGAGTACACGTTTTCGTGTCTGTAAAATTTTTCCCCTCTTTTCTGTCTGATGATTTCTTCTTGTACATGTTGTTCGGTTGTCTCCTTCCGTAAGCATTTTTATTTCCAATACTCATAATTGGTTCTTGTTTTATCTTCATTGTTCCAATTACCTGAGCTGTACTTGCAGTCCTTGCATTAGTTTTCTGAAATGCCTGAGTTGTCTGTTTACTTTGTTCAAATTTCAACGCCCTTTTCATTACTTCCTCTGGTGAAAATGTTTCAAACGTTAGTGTATCTTGTAATACCACATTTTTCATTTTCGATATGAATAGGTCACGCACTAATTCGTCCTCCAGTGTCCTTAATTCTGCTCTGGCTGCTTGAGCAGTTAATGCGGCATGAAATGCCTCGAGTGATTCCCCTGTTTCCTGTGAACGATTAAACAGCTTGTAGCGTTCATACGTAACACTCTGTGATTTATCAAATGAAGTATTAGCCAACGCTACCATCTGCCTGAATTCTAACTTTGAAACTTCTACATGCGAGTTTTTTTGTACAAATTTCTTCTTTCCTTCTGTCCCCAACGCCAGGAATAATCTAGAGGCTACTCTTTTCTGTACTTCGTTGTAATATACGTTGTGTCCAACCTTTGGTCCTCTAGTTTTTCTTTCTTCATTTTCCAGAAGAATCTTACCCCGGGCTAGTTGGTCTCGAGCTTCCCTTTCTGTAATCGCTTGAGCGTTTTCATGTTCTCGTGGAGTCTCTGGTCTTGGTAACGGTTCCAATAGAACTTCTTTCGGTTCTTCTAACAATAGTTCCGGATTCACGCTCTCCTTTACTGTAACTGCCAAAAGAAATTGGTCTAGCCATATCTTGAAATTCCAAGGAGGGTCGGAATCCGCGGTCGTCCAAAATACAGGGATCCCCATATCTGTTCTATTGTCCTGGGACAGAAATGCTGCTGGTTGCGCCATGTGATATTGCTATGCTACGAGTAGGTAAGAGCAAAAGAGAATAATTGAAAACATTTAATTCTGTCTTTTGATTTGCTTAGTTTTGTTAGAGATCACGTTCATGTGTCTTCTACGATTGCAACCGTCCAAATGACTGTTACGTTTGGCCTGCATGGATGGCCTTGAATAATAATAACAATACATAACAGAATATTAATAACACTTTATCCAAGGTTACTGTGGCAACAGTACTACACGGTACCACAGTTTTTGTCGTTTCATTCTTCTGTTTTGGGCCTAATTTTTCATTTAGCTTTGTTTCAATTGAATGGCCCTGAAATGAGGCGCTAACAAAACATCCAAAACAGTGCCAAACAATGCATTTTGTGATCAAATCTAAAATGCCGTTCTTGCACGTTTTTTTTTAAATCTATAAAAAAATCTTTGCTGCTTGTTGAAACCGCTTTTCGTGATGAAGGAAAAACTTTTTTGTGCTTTTTCAATGCGCCTAACAGGATCCAAAAAATCATCTCTAAAAATAACTTGATTCTGAGAGGAAAAGGAAAAAAGGCCAAAACTATGGCCTATGGTTTGTTAGTTGCTTTCAAAATCGGGTAACCTAAAAGAACGAGTCAGTTATCAGAGAACCAGTATGGGTAATCAGATACTCTCGAAAAACAATTGATTCAAAAAGATTTGTGAGTGAAATAACCTGTATAGGTATGAGACTGAGTGCGAGGCATATGGTGACCACTACGAACAGTTTGGACAGCCACCACAGGGGAGTGAGGTCTCCATAGCCCACAGTGGAGAAAGTGACCATGACGAACCAGAAACTGTTGAACATGTCGAACTGGTCATCTTTTTGAGTCCGCTCCAGATAGTTGATACCACATACACTACAAGCACAACGCAAAAACGAAACTTCTCTTAATAAAATTCTGTGACAAAATTGATCCGGTGCTGTTTGCGTAATTTTTGATCAATTACGTCGAGTCTAAATTGACCCATTTTAGAGTGAAATTTTAGATCAAAACAAATTGCACAATACTAACTTTGATTGAGTTTTAAGCACATTTTTTCAACTTCATTTTTTGAGTAAATAACTTTTTTCAATTTCAATTTTTGAGCAAATTTTGCCATAAATGTTGCGTTTTGTCCGGCTACTTTAAATCAGCACTTTAAACATCCCATACTGTTGTTTATAATCGTTGTTCAAAATTCTAAAATAAGTTGAAGCAATTGTTTCTCTAATTTTCTGATACTAAACTGCTCAGTTAGAACTTAAAAAACACAGAAGATAGAGGGGGGGGGGGGGGCAACGGTTATTAAAGAAAATCATTTTATGGTAAAAGGCTCTTTTTCTAACCCCCCTCCACCTCACCGCTCCCCCCATTATATCCCACGTTTGCCATAGCCTAATTAGTCTGCATGCCAATTGTTGCCAAACTCAGACAATCATTGCTAACAGAAAAGAGGAGGGAAAACGGGGAGGGAAAAGAGCTTGGCAAAGATGATCTTCAGCTTTGAAACAATGTGCGTAACAAAACTGCGTGAATCAAAAACAAATGAAACAAGACTTCTCGCTGAAGCCCTGAAGGTTCCGACTGCCTTTTAAGGTTTTATGGAGCAGTAATAACATTAAAAAATAAAATGTAAGAAAAAATAAAATGAAATTTTTTTTTTTAAAGTTTGAAATTTTTTACGAAAATCATCCCCCCACACGCCATATAAAGTTATAAAAGATAGATTTCGCTCCTTGTAACAAATCAATTATGGCAAATAAGCTTCTTGCAACCAATTTGGAACGATTTTTATGACGGATTAACTCTCCGCTCTTGCGTTAATAGCGCGAAATATATCAATTTTTAAACCCCCATAACTTTACGAAAAATGATCACAGGTAAAATATTTTTTCAAATTTGAGCTCTGGACAACAATATCTTTTGAATGATATAAAAAAATTCCGTCAAAAGTGGCTAGTTAAAAAGTCGAAATTTGTCTGAAGAAAAAAAACCCACCCCGAGCACAAATATTTCGTTACTTTCGTTTCGAAAGTCGGAACAACAAAACTGCTCGTATCAGGCCGAAGCCCTGAAGGTTCCGACTGCCTTTTAAAGTCTGTAGAGCAGTAATAAAATGAAAAAAAAAAGATGAAACAAAATAAAAAAAGTTTTTTTAAACATGAATATTTTGTGAAAATCATCCCCCACACGCCATATAAAATAGAGAGTGATAGATTTCGCTCCTAGCACCAAATCAAGTATGGCAAATAAGCTTCCTTCAACCAATCTGAAACGATTTCTCAGATGGATTAAATCTCCGCTTACGCGTTAATAGTGCGAAAAATATTGCGCGTTAATTGTCCCAAATTGGCCAAAATGGCAATCTTTAAACCCCCAGAACTTTCCGAAAAATGATCACGGGTAAAATATCATTTTTTCAAAACTTAGGACAACAGTAATTTTTGGATGATGTATAAATTTCTATCAAAAATGGCCACTTAAAAAGTCGAAATTTGTCTGAAGAAAAAAAAAACAGCCATGCACAAATATTTTGTTACTTTCCTTATGAAAGTCGGAATAATAAAAGAACTGTCTTTCACAGTGTTAAGTCTGCCATACGAATTCATCATCAAGCATTGTGTATGGCTAATACGCATCTCATAAAATCTGACTGATCGTCAAAAAATTAGAGTAGCTTGCATCAGCCAAACGCCGTTCAGATCATCAAAAAATGAGTAGTTTGCGTCAGCCGTAATTCGAAATATCGCTTTTTGAGAGAAAACTTTCATGTGGCAAACGAGAAGAGCCATTTCATGGCGCAAATAGAAAACCTACTAGAATACTCGGCTAATTTTTTTTCGGCTTGATGTCTTAGTTTTAGGTGGTTCCAAGGGAAACACAATTTAAACACTCTTCGCATTTTTCAAGTTGGTTGTATGTTTACCAATCGGTTTGTTGAAATATCTTTTTTTTCCGTTATGGAAAATTATTTCCAATTTTATTGCAAAAGTTTTAGTTCTTCACAGAAAATTCCACTGATTTTCAAAAAAGAGGTATCAAATGAAAAACCACCTACTCTCCTGTGTGCCTGCATACTCTTCTCAAATCTCTTGTTACTTAAACCCTCTGTCTACAGCCTTCGAAAAATCTGTGGGGAAATATTTGACCATATTTTTGATTTTTTTATTGTCTATTTTCTGTTTCCTCAAAAATTACCCTCTGAAATCTGATCTTTTGGTTTCAATGAATAAAACGGTTTTGAAAAGATCCCCTGCATAAGCGGCACATCTTTTTACACATTGAATTTTTATCCTCGGAATAGTCAAAAATTGGTCTTTTGACTATTTTGTGAAACTTTTTTAACTTTCCAAAAAACGGGCCTCTCAAATTTGATATTGCGTCTTCAATGGAATCGAAGGGTAGTGGGAAGCTCCCCTGATTCAGCGGCCATTCACAAAGTTTTTTAAACCAAAAGTAATTGCCCTCGGAAAAGTCAAGGTTTCAATTTTTGACCGTTTTTATTCGCTTTTTGCTTCTTCTCAAAAACTATCCTGCCATATCTGATGTTTTGGGTTAATTCAAAGAACGGGTTGCGGGAACCTCATTTTTTTTTACTAGGCCCAAATCTTTCTGACGCCAAAGGTTATAGCCCACGGAAAATCAAATGTTTAATTTTTTGACTGTTTTTTTTGAAAAATTTTGACTTTTCTTAAAAACAACAGTCTCAAATTTGAAATTTTGGCTTCAATCGGAATCACATGTTGCGTGAACCCATTCTGCATAAGCAGTTATGCTCTATTTTGTTCACACAAAAAGCAATGGTTTTCGAAAATGTCAAATTTTTGATTAATTGACCGTTTTTAGCAATTTTCTAGCTCAAAATCCTGCTAAATCTGATATCATACGTTTAATCGAAACAACAAATTGTTCTAATTCTACCTCTATGATTGGATAAGCCTAGCTGATTTTAAAAAAGTTATAGCCATCAATCAAATCAATGTTTTGAAACTTCGACAGTTTTTTGGAAACTTCTTGACTTGATGCGAAAAATACCGTGCCAATTTTCTGGTTGCAAATGTTCTCTATTTAAGCGGCCACAAACTGCGTTTGCAGAAAAAAAAACTATGGATTTTGAAAATCTTTTGACCGTTTCTTCAATTTTTAGAAACTTTTTGAATTTTTAAAAAAATTTATACGTTCAAATCTGAGCTGAAGATTTCATTTGAAAAAACCGTTTGTGACAATGTTTTCCGCAGAAGCAGCGGTTCCTTAATGGTTTGTAATTGAAATGTTATCTCCTTGGGAGAATTTATTATCTCTGTTTTTTCTGCTCTTTTCACTTATTTTAGTAGAAAAATAACTAACGTTTTGGGGCAAAATCCAACTCTTGAAATCTCATTTTTCCTTCCGCATCAGTATCAAAATTTCATTCAATACACAACAAGTATCTCCAGTTTTAGCTGGGCCCCTAATTGTTTTTGATCGAAGATTTTGGTTCATTCAGTTTTTTTTTCAACGTGTAACATATTTTTTCGACTTATGCTTTTTATGTTTGCGTTGTATCGCAAGTGTTGCGAAGCTCCGCTTCGCCTCTGCTTAACAGATTAATTGATGATCCAATTACGCCAACTTTTACAATTTTTCTTGAAATTGAAAGCAGACCAATAAGTTTTTATTATCATACCACGCTCGATACCTTGCCAAAGCAACTACACTGGAAGTAAATAAAAATGAACTACTTTCAGTCACTCCATGCGTGTTGGGAACTAAAAATTGGATAGAAAATTTTATAACATTATTACATCTCAAATCTGAATCTTGTATCTCTAATGAGAAATGTTTTTGCGAGCTTCACTCCGTTCAGAGATATAAATTCATATTTCAATCAGACTAGTTATTGAACTATTTGCATGCAAACAATCATTCTTTAAATGGCTAAAACAATCATGAAAAGTTTAAAAAATTGATGAAATTGAAAAACAAGTCGCACCAAGCACAATGGAAAAGACAGCAGCTTAGAACTAGAAGATAATAGGTCACTCAATAGGTTATAGACACCGCTGTCGCTCTTCTCTCTCTTACCATGTGAAGCCGAGACAGAAAATGAAACTGAGTAGGTTGACCAAGTGTTTGGTCAGAGTTGAACTAGTCTTCAAACACAGCAGCTGCAAACGATACACAGTTTTAAACACAATTTCTGCCAATAAGGATTCGGGATTTTTTGAATTTCAAAAAATAACAAAAAAAGTTATTTCCGTAGTCGGAATGACGATGGTTATCGTGCGAAAATCTTGGAAGACATTTGTAGTCTTCCAGGAACCTTAAAACCAAGTGAACATTCCCCCCCCCCCCCAAATTTATTTGGGTGGATAATGCTCACTTAGTTTTTAGCATTCTTTTTTAGCCAATCAGACTTGAGCAAAGTACTTACTATAAAGCAGGCCTTACTATTTGAATTTATTATTTAATTTTAGGGGGCAGTTTGTTCACTTGGTCTTTTTAGGGGGAGATTCTTCACATGGCCCGATCATTGCAATATATGCACTATCTAGCAAAATACAAATTTGCAAAAATAACCTTGGACGATCTTTTAACACAACCATATCCTGCATCAATTATACTTGACTTTTAAGCATAAGAAGCTAAATTTTGTAGGCGAAGCCATCGCGAAGTGTGAGCACAATAACTTACGACTATTTTTTCGAGGAAGTCTTTCGCGAGCCAGCAGTTGAGAAAACTGGGAACGTACAGGTTGATGAGTCTCTTGTCCACCACCTGCATCATCACGCACTTTGTTCACATTCGAAAATTGTTAAATGTGAAATTTTCACAAGAAAAACACCAATATGAAACAGTTTTGACTAAAATGCGTTTTTTCAGCGCGCGCTTTCCGTCAAAAATAGTCTATATTGGCCGCCAAAAGCGCTTCTACAATATTCTTAAGGTCGGTAAAATAAAACGGCAATTTCGAAATAGTTTCAATGGAAATTAGACCATAACTTACGGATATCATGAAAGGGACTGAACAAACACTCTCGAACAGTATCTTGGTCGACAGGATCTGCTCCCAGATATTCCCCTAAAAACTTAAATTACTGTAATCGATATAAATTGGAACGAAAAAATAATTTTAAATATTTTTCAAAAAAAACTATGTGCAGGACGTTAAAAAAAACAGGTGATAAATCGTTAAAAAGTATACAGGGCGTTTCAACTAAACTTTTTCTATGTAAAGTCAATTTTCTTATTCTTGAAATGAGGTACTGAAAGTTTGACAAAACGTAGAAAACGGAAATTTTTGTATTTATATATATTTTTCATCAGTGGTATGTTTTAAGTCTATCATCAATAATGGAAAAATAGAAAGTACAAAATAATTTTTTGGTGTTATTCTTGTTTTTTGAAAGTTGATCCTTTACCAGCCAAAAAATGGAACTGATTGAATATTGAAAATTTAAAAAACAAAACAGGCCAATACTTTCTTTTCATGAAAGATTTTAGCACAAAACAACAAAAAATTGGCTAGATACATTCGGGCAATTCTTTAGTCTAAAACCTAATCTCAGTACTACTGCAATTTTCCGTAGTCTCAAAAATTCTAGTGAAAACGTAGTTAGGTTGAGATCAATTTTATTTCAGCCAGTCTTGAAACCGGCTTAAGGTAACCGATCAGAAGGTATCATAAATTTAGCGTCTCGATTTAAATTGTTTTCTAATCAATTATTAACCTTGCATAGTCTAAAGCAAAATTTCGGTATTTTTATAAGCTTTGTCAAAAACGCAGTATCTCAGCTCAAATACTAAATGAGAAAAATTGAATACTACACGCTATGAAGTTCCATAGATAATAATCGATTAAAATGGATTATTAAGCGATTATAAAACAAATAAATTAGCAAATAATTTAATCCATTATAATCAATTATAATGGATTATAATGGATTATAGTTAAGTTTTTGTGTGTTAGGGCCTAAATTTTCTAAAACTTTGAAATCAGATGCTCAAAAATTCAACGTTGCAATCGCTAGTTTGTGTTTTATATTTGACTATAAGTTGTTATGTTTCTACTTTTTTCTTTTTGTGTCCTCCTCCTTAAAACTTCACAATAGCTCCTACAATTCTTACGTCCTTCAATTATCACCACCTCCCCTGCACACCATTGACCCCTTACTTACATTTACCGTAAAAATACGTACAAAAACGTACGAGTGACCTCCTCCAAGAGTGTAGATGCAAAAATATGGCTTTACAAAATTCAATTAAATATGAGCAGGTTTGAAAATCGAGTGGGCTGTAAGTAATTCAAAAAAGCTAGAAATTTTGCTGAAACTTTGACAAAACTATTTGAGATTAAAATCCCTTATAATCCATTATAATGGATTTTAAATGGATCATAATTTTTTTTCTGTAAAAATATTCAATTAGAAGCGATTGCGTGGTCTCAAAAAGTAAAAATAATCGATTGTATGGCCAATATTTTTTATCACGAAAATCGATTATAATAGATTATTTTCCATAGAACCTCACTGCGGGACCTCGCTACGAGAATTTTCTTTGGTTCGGCGCTTAAAACTTTTGTCTGTTTGTTTTATACAATACAAGTTTCTCTAAAACCAACGTTTTTCAAACATATAATTTTACGCAATTCAATCAATAAACATAAGTTTGAGAAAGTTAGATAGTTCAAACAAAAACCACCAAGGTTAGTTAAATCGGTAACCTTCACTGAAACAATGTCGGAGCCAACTTTTTTTGCTCAAAGTAGAAAAAATTGCATGTCAGTTTTCACTCACAAAACGGCATTATCTCCAATTTGGAAGTCAATTATAAGTTGAGCACCTCAATCAGGTATATGAATTTTTTGTCGTGACCGATTGTCACGGTCGACAAGCGAATCTATATTAAAACTTTTTTCATCCCTTCCATTTGTCCATGCAAATGGTACCTTAGTACTAGAGTAACTTACCCTGTACTCTAGGTAGAGAAGGAGCATAGTCTCCACAAAGGAGAGATAGGCTACCACAGTCTGCATCACATAGAACATCAGGCCACGGTTTATCCATACCAGATTTTCGCTAAACAACCCAAAAATGTTTTTATTATAATTTGGTGTTTTAAATCATAACTTGTCGTTTTGTATTAAAATTCCCGACCAATTATGAAAAAGCAAAAAAAAAATGAAAAACACCAATTCATGCTGAAATTGCCATATTATGATGAAAATATCAAAAGTAAAACAAAATTTCTAATTATTGGTTATTTTTATTTATCCATGTTATGAAATCTTGAAAAGCTGTTTGTCTATATATATTATCTAAACTTTGATTAAAAGCGAAACTTCATATAGTAGGATGAGAAAGTTCTGAGTTGTCGAATGGCTACCTATTTTTTGAGTTGTTGAAAAGCGTTGAATGAAAGTTTCGATTAGGTGGCAATGAGCAGACCACCTAGTGAACAGACACGCCAGTAAGCAATGAAGTTTCCTACTTTCAATTGCCAGGCAGTTTTAGCAAAACAAATTGTACCTTTTTGCACGGACAATTTTGAGCAGCTTTTTCAAGAGTGTATCTCGAAAATCAACTGAATTTGAATAATTTTGGTTTGAAAGGAGTTTGACTATAACCGATTATAAATGAACAGTTTTTAGCATATTTTTTCAGCCAACCTGACGAGTACCAAATGAGGTTGTCGGCTTTCTGGTGCACATCAAACTTTACTTACTAGTATGGATATGTGATGTTGGCAGGCGCATCGCAGCCGTAACTAAAACGAAAAATCAGTTCATACTACCTTTTCTCATTTGCCAGAATCGAGATGTGAGGGCGTTATAAAAGCCCAAATAGTTCCGCAACGTCAAGGCTTTTTTTCTCCTCATGATTCGACTCCATGCCAACAATAAGGGTCCATTGCGAGGCCAAACTGTGAACTGCCCTGCCCGGGTGGAGGTGCTCGACTTAAGCTTCGTTTTTGAAAGTAGAGCAAGGGCAGTTTTGCGACTGAAATTCTGCGGTCGAGAAGCTATTTAAGTCGAGCAAAAAGACGAAACATACCCGATTTTAGTCGAGATAATCCAAATAGCTGACAAAAGTTGAGCACAGTTAAAAGATAGGTCGAGCACAGTCAAAACAAAGGGCGAACAGTCAAAAAACGGAACTTAAGAATGCAATTTTTGTCGGATTTTCTGCTGGCTCAACTAGAAGACGGATGCAAATAGCAGTATATTCCTGTATAAATGTGTTTAACAAGCATTTAGCTTGGCAGTGTGTTTGTGTGCAGTTAGCTAGACGAGGATAATGGAACAATTTAGTGTGTAGATCTCTGAAATTCAGAGACAAGTCTTTAAACTAATAAAATATTGTCCGAATGATCAAACAAAAAGAAAGAACAAAAAGTCAAAGAGAGAGTCCTTGTTGAGGAACTCGCTTACAATTAACAAATACACAGTTTGGCCTCGTAATTTTTCCCTTCGGATACTATTTTAGTATATTAAGAGCTAGATTTTTGTCTAACTGACTTAAAAAAATTTTCAAAGGCGCCAGCATATAATAAATTTTGAGTCAAGGCGCCTTTTTGGCCTGTTTGTTCAATAATTTGCATGCGGAGCAGAAATTTTGTTCAAAATAGGGTCTATTCAGTGATTTGGGGAGCTCAGAAACTTTTTTAGTCGACCTAAGAAGCAAAGTTTTTGAATTTTTAGATACCCCCCTCAAAAAAACCTTAGATCCGCCCGGAGTCGAAAGAAGGTATTTTAAAGAAAGTGATACAATGCTGATTTCAATTATCCGGACAAAACGTAAAAAATCCGGACAGAATGAAGTTGAACTTTCTCAAAATGGGTTGACTTTAGACAAAAAAAAAGATAAAAAGAAAGCCTACTTGGAGTTTTAACATGAGTTATATATTTGAATGTATTCAAGAAAAATTGGGTGAAAAAAAAACAGAATTGGATAAGCTTCGGCCTTTTTATGGAAATCAAAAATTACGCAGAAGGAAGTCACTTATTAAGTTCAACAAAATTAAAAGATTGGTTGTATAATAGCATTTTTGACTATCAAACAAAAACACACTTACTTATTCAAAATTGAGAACAAACTACCGTTCTAAATTTTTGCTTGGCTTCACAAGATACTCTTTTTGATCTAGTTTTGTCAGCAATTCAACCAATTTGTTATCTCGTAAGTAATGATTAACTGAAAAAACTAAGCATGAACAAAAAAAATGTTGACACGAACTTCGCAAAATTGAACCATATCAGTTTTGTTAAAATCTAAGCATATTTGTCTCCGACCTTTTTGTCTCTAAAATAAACTTAAAGTTTTATTCGTTTTGTCCAGATAATTTACATCAGCATTGTGACGCTATACCTATGACTTAGCGCGCTTAAGTTCAAATAGCAAATTCTACTGATTTCCGAACCATTAGAAATTGCTAATGTTTTGCCGCCCACGCTACGCGTTAATACAAAGTCTGATAAAAAATAATAAATATCTCCAAATAGGCAAATCGACATTTTTAATCTCCAATACTTAAAAAAAATTAATAGCCGGTGATTATTTTTTTCAATAGCAGCTTAAAACACCAATATCTTTCAGAGGATTAAAAAATTTAGTCGAAATCGTTAGCGAATCAGTCGAAAATTGTCTCAAAAAAACTATACTATCCAAAGCATTAAATAATCATCTATTTTTGTAAGAATGAAGCACGCCAATTAATTTTTTGTGATTTATTCGATTTTTCTCCAAAAATTGAAAATGGAGTAGAGCTTTGCGTTTGAGTGTGTTTTAGTTTTTATTCTTTTTTTAAACTTTTTTAACACAATATTTGAATAAGTTTTTCAACAGTTTTGATTTTTAACTACCTTTTTTGTTTTTCTAGTCTTTTTTTTTAGAAAAACTTTTGTCCAATTTGCATATTTTCACTATGAATGTCGAATATGTCTAAGTTGGGGTTTTTTGTTCAGATTCTTTTATCACACCACGCAGTAAAAAACGACACTAATTTGAAAATTTTTTTTCGTATTTTTCAAGATTATAGTCGAAACATGTGCTATTTGCACTGTAACCAGCTATCCGTTTTTATTTAGAATTTAGCACTAATATTACATGTTACGCATTTTTACTAAAAATTCAGCAAAAGAGTGGTAAATCAGAACGTACATCTAGCCGCTTAAAGTTAATCTAGATTCCCTTATTAAAAGTTCGACTTTTTTCTCTTATAATTGGTTTTCTTCCTCCACAAAAATCCAGGAGAATCAATTTTTTTTCACAAAATACTAATTGAAATTGATTGTTCTTTGAATAACAATTGTTTATTCATATTCCGTTTCAGCAAATTTAGGAAACTAAAAAAGCGTAACTATGCAATATGTGAAATCAGGCATGGGCGGATCTAGGATTTCCTTGAGGGGGGAATTTTCAAATTATTTTCGAAAATTTTGTTTTTGTCGACTTTTTTTAGGTCGACCAAATTAATATTCCGAGCTCTCTCATATCACTAAAAAGACCCCTGTCACCAAATATGGATATCCCAAAATAGTACAAAGGAGGGACCCTTTGGGTCGTTAGGGAGTCGAATCCCTGAAGAGGTGGGGACGTCCGCCCCCCTAAATCCGCCCCTGAAATCAGGCGTGGGTGAGTTTTCAGAAAAAAGTTCACTTGAATTTATCGCAAAACAGAATAAAGATTTTTTTTCTAAAAATTTGTGCGTTGCAGGCGAATTTAAGAAAAAGTTTTTGGTCGGAATATACTGGCCAAAACCCCGTTTTTTTCAGCTCGAATTCCGCCCCTCCCCTCAAAATTGTAATACTGTCCCAGAATAAAGTAGAGGGAGTCAGAGTTGCTGCCATTTTTACCAATGGAAGAGGGCAGTGACGTCATTAGACCTGAGAACTATGACGTAATGACTCTTAACAATCGGAGAGGTCAGTGATGTCACTAGACCTGAGAGCTATGACGTAATGACTATTACCAATGGGAGAGGGCGGTGGTGTCACTAGACCTGAGAACTATGACGTAATGACTCTTAGCAATGTGAGTGGTGGGTGATGTCACTGGATCTGAGAACTATGACGGAATGACTCTTACCAATGGAAGAGGTCGTAACTATGACGACCTGAGAACTATGACGTAATGACTATTACCAATGGGAGAGGGCGGTGGTGTCACTAGACCTGAGAACTATGACGTAATGACTCTTAGCAATGTGAGTGGTGGGTGATGTCACTGGATCTGAAAACTATGACGGAATGACTCTTACCAATGGGAGAGGTCGATGGCGTCACTAGACCTGAGAATTACGACATAATGACTCTTACCAATGAGAGAGGGCGCTGACGTCACTAGACCTGAGAAGTATGACGTAATGCCTCTTACCAATGAGAGAGGTCGGTGACTTCACTAGACCTGAGAAGTATGACGAATGACTCTTACCAATGGGAGAGGTCGGTGACGTCACTAGACTTGATAAGTATGACGTATTGTCTCTTACCAATGGGAGAGGTCGTTGACGTCACTAGACCTGAGAAGTATGACGTAATGCCTCTTACCAATGAGAGAGGGCGGTGACGTCACTAGACCTGAGAAGTATGACGCAAGGACTCTTACCAATGGGAGAGGTCGGTGACTTCACTAGACCTGAGAAGTATGACGCAATTACTCTTACCAATGGGAGAGGTCGGTGACTTCACTAGACCTGAGAAGTATGACGAATGACTCTTACCAATGGGAGAGGTCGGTGACTTCACTAGACCTGAGAAGTATGACGCAATGACTCTTACCAATGGGAGAGGTCGGTGACGTCACTAGACCTGAGAAGTATGACGTAATGCCTCTTACCAATGGGAGAGGTCGGTGACTTCACTAGACCTGAGAAGTATGACGCAATGACTCTTACCAATGGGAGAGGTCGGTGACTTCACTAGACCTGAGAAGTATGACGCAATGACTCTTACCAATGGGAGAGGTCGGTGACTTCACTAGACCTGAGAAGTATGACGAATGACTCTTACCAATGGGAGAGGTCGGTGACTTCACTAGACCTGAGAAGTATGACGCAATGACTCTTACCAATGGGAGAGGTCGGTGACGTCACTAGACCTGAGAAGTATGACGCAATGACTCTTACCAATGGGAGAGGTCGGTGACTTCACTAGACCTGAGAAGTATGACGCAATGACTCTTACCAATGGGAGATGTCGGTGACTTCACTAGACCTGAGAAGTATGACGTAATGCCTCTTACCAATGGGAGAGGTCGATGACTTCACTAGACCTGAGAAGTATGACGCAATGACTCTTACCAATGGGAGAGGTCGGTGACTTCACTAGACCTGAGAAGTATGACGCAATGACTCTTACCAATGGGAGAGGGCGGTGGTGTCACTAGACCTGAGAACTATGACGTAATGACTCTTAGCAATGTGAGTGGTGGGTGATGTCACTGGATCTGAAAACTATGACGGAATGACTCTTACCAATGGGAGAGGTCGATGACGTCACTAGACCTGAGAATTACGACATAATGACTCTTACCAATGAGAGAGGGCGCTGACGTCACTAGACCTGAGAAGTATGACGTAGTGATTCTTACCAATGGGAGAAGTCGGTGACGTCACTAGACTTGATAAGTATGACGTATTGTCTCTTACCAATGGGAGAGGTCGTTGACGTCACTAGACCTGAGAAGTATGACGTAATGCCTCTTACCAATGAGAGAGGGCGGTGACGTCACTAGACCTGAGAAGTATGACGCAAGGACTCTTACCAATGGGAGAGGTCGGTGACTTCACTAGACCTGAGAAGTATGACGCAATGACTCTTACCAATGGGAGAGGTCGGTGACTTCACTAGACCTGAGAAGTATGACGAATGACTCTTACCAATGGGAGAGGTCGGTGACTTCACTAGACCTGAGAAGTATGACGCAATGACTCTTACCAATGGGAGAGGTCGGTGACGTCACTAGACCTGAGAAGTATGACGTAATGCCTCTTACCAATGGGAGAGGTCGGTGACTTCACTAGACCTGAGAAGTATGACGCAATGACTCTTACCAATGGGAGAGGTCGGTGACTTCACTAGACCTGAGAAGTATGACGCAATGACTCTTACCAATGGGAGAGGTCGGTGACTTCACTAGACCTGAGAAGTATGACGAATGACTATTACCAATGGGAGAGGGCGGTGGTGTCACTAGACCTGAGAACTATGACGTAATGACTCTTAGCAATGTGAGTGGTGGGTGATGTCACTGGATCTGAAAACTATGACGGAATGACTCTTACCAATGGGAGAGGTCGATGACGTCACTAGACCTGAGAATTACGACATAATGACTCTTACCAATGAGAGAGGGCGCTGACGTCACTAGACCTGAGAAGTATGACGTAATGATTCGTACCAATGGGAGAAGTCGGTGACGTCACTAGACTTGATAAGTATGACGTATTGTCTCTTACCAATGGGAGAGGTCGTTGACGTCACTAGACCTGAGAAGTATGACGTAATGCCTCTTACCAATGAGAGAGGGCGGTGACGTCACTAGACCTGAGAAGTATGACGCAAGGACTCTTACCAATGGGAGAGGTCGGTGACTTCACTAGACCTGAGAAGTATGACGCAATGACTCTTACCAATGGGAGAGGTCGGTGACTTCACTAGACCTGAGAAGTATGACGAATGACTCTTACCAATGGGAGAGGTCGGTGACTTCACTAGACCTGAGAAGTATGACGCAATGACTCTTACCAATGGGAGAGGTTGGTGACGTCACTAGACCTGAGAAGTATGACGTAATGCCTCTTACCAATGGGAGAGGTCGGTGACTTCACTATACCTGAGAAGTATGACGCAATAACTCTTACCAATGGGAGAGGTCGGTGACTTCACTAGACCTGAGAAGTATGACGCAATGACTCTTACCAATGGGAGAGGTCGGTGACTTCACTAGACCTGAGAAGTATGACGAATGACTCTTACCAATGGGAGAGGTCGGTGACTTCACTAGACCTGAGAAGTATGACGCAATGACTCTTACCAATGGGAGAGGTCGGTGACGTCACTAGACCTGAGAAGTATGACGCAATGACTCTTACCAATGGGAGAGGTCGGTGTCTTCACTAGACCTGAGAAGTATGACGCAATGACTCTTACCAATGGGAGATGTCGGTGACTTCACTAGACCTGAGAAGTATGACGTAATGCATCTTACCAATGGGAGAGGTCGATGACTTCACTAGACCTGAGAAGTATGACGCAATGACTCTTACCAATGGGAGAGGTCGGTGACTTCACTAGACCTGAGAAGTATGACGCAATGACTCTTAAATGGGAGAGGTCGGTGACGTCACTAGACCTGAGAAGTATGACGCAATGACTCTTACCAATTTGAGAGGTCGGTGACTTCACTAGACCTGAGAAGTATGACGCAATGACTCTTACCAATGGGAGAGGTCGGTGACGTCACTAGACCTGAGAAGTATGAAGTAATGCCTCTTACCAATGGGAGAGGTCGATGACTTCGCTAGACCTGAGAAGTATGACGCAATGACTCTTACCAATGGGAGAGGTCGGTGACTTCACTAGACCTGAGAAGTATGACGCAATGACTCTTACCAATGGGAGAGGTCGGTGACTTCACTAGACCTGAGAAGTATGACGCAATGACTCTTACCAATGGGAGAGGTCGGTGACTTCACTAGACCTGAGAAGTATGACGCAATGACTGTTACCAATGGGAGAGGGCGGTGGTGTCACTAGACCTGAGAACTATGACGTAATGACTCTTAGCAATGTGAGTGGTGGGTGATGTCACTGGATCTGAGAAGTATGACGCAATGACTCTTACCAATTTGAGAGGTCGGTGACTTCACTAGACTTGATAAGTATGACGTATTGACTCTTACCAATGGGAGAGGTCGGTGACGTCACTAGACCTGAGAAGTATGACGCAATGACTCTTACCAATTTGAGAGGTCGGTGACTTCACTAGACCTGAGAAGTATGACGCAATGACTCTTACCAATTTGAGAGGTCGGTGACTTCACTAGACTTGATAAGTATGACGTATTGTCTCTTACCAATGGGAGAGGTCGTTGACGTCACTAGACCTGAGAAGTATGACGTAATGCCTCTTACCAATGAGAGAGGGCGGTGACGTCACTAGACCTGAGAAGTATGACGCAAGGACTCTTACCAATGGGAGAGGTCGGTGACTTCACTAGACCTGAGAAGTATGACGCAATGACTCTTACCAATGGGAGAGGTCGGTGACTTCACTAGACCTGAGAAGTATGACGAATGACTCTTACCAATGGGAGAGGTCGGTGACTTCACTAGACCTGAGAAGTATGACGCAATGACTCTTACCAATGGGAGAGGTTGGTGACGTCACTAGACCTGAGAAGTATGACGTAATGCCTCTTACCAATGGGAGAGGTCGGTGACTTCACTAGACCTGAGAAGTATGACGCAATGACTCTTACCAATGGGAGAGGTCGGTGACTTCACTAGACCTGAGAAGTATGACGCAATGACTCTTACCAATGGGAGAGGTCGGTGACTTCACTAGACCTGAGAAGTATGACGAATGACTCTTACCAATGGGAGAGGTCGGTGACTTCACTAGACCTGAGAAGTATGACGCAATGACTCTTACCAATGGGAGAGGTCGGTGACGTCACTAGACCTGAGAAGTATGACGCAATGACTCTTACCAATGGGAGAGGTCGGTGACTTCACTAGACCTGAGAAGTATGACGCAATGACTCTTACCAATGGGAGATGTCGGTGACTTCACTAGACCTGAGAAGTATGACGTAATGCATCTTACCAATGGGAGAGGTCGATGACTTCACTAGACCTGAGAAGTATGACGCAATGACTCTTACCAATGGGAGAGGTCGGTGACTTCACTAGACCTGAGAAGTATGACGCAATGACTCTTACCAATGGGAGAGGTCGGTGACGTCACTAGACCTGAGAAGTATGACGCAATGACTCTTACCAATTTGAGAGGTCGGTGACTTCACTAGACCTGAGAAGTATGACGCAATGACTCTTACCAATGGGAGAGGTCGGTGACGTCACTAGACCTGAGAAGTATGACGTAATGCCTCTTACCAATGGGAGAGGTCGATGACTTCGCTAGACCTGAGAAGTATGACGCAATGACTCTTACCAATGGGAGAGGTCGGTGACTTCACTAGACCTGAGAAGTATGACGCAATGACTCTTACCAATGGGAGAGGTCGGTGACTTCACTAGACCTGAGAAGTATGACGCAATGACTCTTACCAATGGGAGAGGTCGGTGACTTCACTAGACCTGAGAAGTATGACGAATGACTCTTACCAATGGGAGAGGTCGGTGACGTCACTAGACCTGAGAAGTAAGACGTAATGACTCTTACCAGTGGGAGTGTTGGGTGATGTCACTGGATCTGAGACATATGACGTAGATCATTGCGCTGAGTGACTTCAGCATCAGGTTGCACATTCGGAATAGAATTGCTGAAAATATATTACATGTTACCAATTTTTATAACTGGAACTGAGTAGCAGAGAAGCGGAACATTTAATGAAGGGTGAGTTTTTGAGGAAAAGCACTACCGAGTTCAAAAATTTTTCTACACCTTTGGTGGTCGAAAGTTGTTTTTAGACAGTTGCAATCATGTTTGTATGTTCAAAGATCACTGCTACACATATCATTAACACTTTCACTCATTTTTATGTGTCGGAATAAAAAATGGTTCGCTGCTTTGGTTGATCATAATTTAAGGTGTTCACAATAATCGGAACTCGCCTGTTTTTCTGTTCTTCAGAAGAACTGTTTTCAGGTGGTCTTTGAAGGATCTGTCGCCATAGAATTCCACGCTCACTCTGAAATAGAAAACACTAAATGAATATCATGAAATAACTTAAGCGCTATCTTTAAATTGAGAAAGAATTGAAGTTTTTTAATCTTAGGCAGACCAGCCAGATTCAATGTTTAAAAAAATGTTTTTAAACCAAATTAAAAATAAGGTTCAGGGGTGTATTTAGGGGAGTCGGGAATCAGGGGGATATCTACACCCAGAGGGCCCCTCTTTGTTACTATTTTATAACATCAGTTTTTTAGCCAACCAACCCTAGATTCTTCTGAAGGCGCCTTTGACGCCAAAATGTACTAAATTTGAAGGCAAGCGCGCGTCAAAAAAGTGCAATTATTTGGTCAAAATTTTTCAAAAAGTGCCCAAAAACGGCGTTTTTGACTTTTTTTTTCAATAGTTTGCCTACGGCGCAGAATTGTTTTTTCAAAATAGGGTCTTTATGGTGTTCCGAGAGAGCATTCTGATTTGCCTAATAATGGTCAACAAAATTTCTGAAAATCTTTTGAAAGTCCACCCACTCGCCAGAAAAACCTAGATCCACCTCTGGTTAGGTATTTCTAAATCAAAATAAGTATAAGAAAATCATGCTCAACCAAAACAAGCTAAAAGAATTAGGTATCTTTAAAATAGTTGAAAAGGAAGTTCTAGGGATGCAAAAATAACTAACTGTTGAATCATAAACTGTATAAAAAATGCTTTGTAACTTGATAAAACAAAAAGACGGCATGTAATATAACTCATTATCATTTTCTAAAAATCTTTTCCATAATATTTTGATGGAAAACGAAACCCCGACTAACTTTTTGTCCACGACATCCGATCTTTCTGTTAATGTTGACGCCTGTGACGAGGGTCTCATTGTCGGCGCCCGGTCAAATCCGATAGTCGGTGTAATGGAGCTCATCTTATTCCAAGCCTGTTGCTGCCTTAAAGTCGGATCCTGTACTGGCTCGACGAAAGAAGTGCGTTTAATTCTTTGGTCTCGCACTCTTTTAAAGGTATTCTGAATCATTTTTTTGGTTCCGCGCCTTTTTGGTTGCAATTTTGGTTCATTCCAACGGCAACTGTCAAACTGTATTTCAGCTCAGCAGTCAAATATTTTTTCATTGTGGCTCAATATTCTGTATTTAGATAGTTTTGTATCTTATGCTTAATTTTTCAAAGTGTTTGTTTTTTGTTTATTTCCGATGTTTCTATCATAAGAAGGACCGGCTACCTTCCTGCAAATGTAAATTATACCGAAGAAGAGAAATTGAATTTCCTGATTTCGTTCTATAGTAAATGGTGATTGGAAAACAGCCCCTATTAATTATTCACAATTGGTGGCATTCAGACCATAACCACCTGCCCCGAAATAAGCAAGGACTATTTCCCAAACTCACAATAATCTTCGTCTTCACTGTCATCTAAAGCATGAAGCGATACTGCAGATACTTAGCTATAGCAATACACACTTCAAAGTTCGCTTTTTTGATGAATGAAAAACAAATGATGTCAATTTCATCCGGTGATTTTCATAATTGAAACATCATCAAAGATAGAATATGTAATGCAAAGTATCAAAAGAAAGAAAAAAATCAGATGTTGGGCTATCAATGATGTATGCATTTAACTTCCGGCGAGCTTTTTATTTAAATTTTTTTTCAGCAAAAAAACCTATCTGGAACAACTTCCGGTAGTTTCCTGAGTTACTTTCAGCTAGCTCTCATTTCATAAATTTTTCAATATAAAAAATCCAAAATTGGAATCACATAAAACTGTGGTTGATATCTGCGCCTCTGTTTCCCGGAAATTGAGTGCTTTAGACCGCCTTCCCTCAATTTTACTGGCTAGTTTCTTCTAGGGAACCAAGCTCGCTTTTATTAACGACACCCATTTTTTGACCGACTAGCCCTATTTTTTGAGATAATTTTTAACAAGCTTATGTTGTGCTTGTTTTCTTATTTCTCTGGAGTGATTTGTGAAAATAATTTTTCTAGCTTTTTTGTTTGTTTGTTTGTTTGTTTAGCAGTTTGTTTTAAAATTTAGACACTTAGATGAACAAACAAACAAAAGAGTTGAGCAAATGTATTTTCAGAAATCACTCCCAAGAAAAAAAACAAGATTTGTTAGTTGCTGAGCAAGTAGCGCTAGAAAATTTTGACCACACTTAAATATCATTTAAAAATGTATTGAAAGATTGGGCCGTTGCTTGCGCGTCGTAATAAGGAAAATGGTCATTGACAAGAAAGCTCTATATGAAGATTGGAAAACTTATTTTCCTGAAAAATTAAGTTTATCGCCGCCTAATGAACCAATTTTTATCAAACAAAAGTTACTTGCTCGCTTAAATGCTCAAATTTAGACTAAAAAGCAAAATTTTGAAACAGTTTTTATCGGATTTGGATAAAATTTGGGGTCATTTTATTTCGTTCAAATCAGGCCTCAGGGGTGTTTACGCAGACAACGTTCCTCCCTTGGAAAAAACGTCCTGTAAAAATAAACCAGGAAGTTTGTTTTCTCTGGCTTAACTGATTTAAAAATTGCTCAAAAATTTTTTATAAAATTCAAAAAGGAACTTACATTTTTTTTAATTCCCAGCAAATAAGACCTTGATCATATATATAGTTTGTAAAAGACATCATTAACAGTCACACTTCCATCAGATGATATAAAGAAAAATCTTGGTATCCTTGCATGTGAATTGCTAATTATTTTGATTTTTGATCGTGGATTCCGTTGACCTATGGAATCCCTTGTGTCTCGAGTTGCGCAAGTTTGTTCTTACTCAATACCTAACTTACAGGAGCCGATTTTTAAAGGGGATTTGATTGGCCGAAAAACACTTTTTCCTATTTCTCTTTGGAACCATTATCAAAATGCTGTATGTGGTCTAGCCCGAACCACAAATGCAGTTGAAGGGTGGCATCTAGGTGTAACCGCTTTGTTTCAAGGCAGCCATCCTTCAATACATACGTTTCTCGAAAAAATTCAACTGGATTCCTACAATCAAAAGTTCAACATTTTGAAGGCATCCAGCGGCACTATCAACTTATCCCGGAAGAAGTACCGTGATCTGAATGAAAAAGTTCAACAGATAACAAGTTCATACACAGACTCTAACTTATGTCTTATATCCGTTCACTTGCCCATTTAACCTATTAAATTTTGTTTTAGTTTTTGCCTAATTTTTCCTAAATTTAAATTTGTTTGATCAACTTTTTTATAGACGTCTCCTTGCACCCTCCCGGAGAACGCCGAAACACTATACTACGACTCGCATTTGAAAATGCTGTCTCTAGCAATTTGATCCCAGAGCAATTGCTCTTATTTACGGGACGCTAGGTTGCGGGTAGGGGCCTGACGGTCTTTTGAGTATTGCGCCTAGCGAAAAAAAAGTTGATCAAAATTGAGAATTGATATTTTTTATCAAATAGAATGGCAAGTGATTCGTAATGAAAATGATTTCAAAGCTTTAGAATTTTGCAAAAACTCAAATTCAATTTTGTACCGACTTGAGTTGCCTGGAAAATCAGGCCATTTTTGGCAAAGTTGGTTTTGATTAATTGGAAATCCTTTTCAAGTTCAATTATAGTCTAAGCTGTTTTGAAGTTTGAGTTTCATTTTAAAGGCCAAGTGATTAGCAAGGTCATTTATGTTCGAAATTTGTGCAGCAAAAAATTTGCCGTTTCTTTGATTTTAACCGACGCTTTGTTTTTGCTTTGATCGATTAACCGCTTTATTTTCAATTCTCAGGTTCTTTGTTACTTTATTATGGTATCTTATGTCGTAAGCGATTTTAGAACGAGGTATCTTTTGGAATGGTATCTTATTGACTGGGATCTTCTCGTTTAGGATCTTAAGGTAAGGGATCTTTTGTCATGTATCCGAAAAAAGATACCAGACAAAAACAACACAGTCGTCTGCGTCTCCAACATTACAAGTTTCTCCGACTACATTGAACTTAATTCCCGGCTTGTTCAAGAAAAACGGACATTTGTAGGATGTAGCAGTAATCAAAGGATACTTCTCAGCGGTTTTAGCTCCATCAATTATTTGGAACTTTTGCATGTAGCGGTAGTTTGGAAGATTCTCTTAAGAGTTCCGGAAATAAACATAAGCATCCCGTAAATGGAGATGAAAATTTCATGCGTTATACCGCCAGAACAAAATTCCTAATTCGAACTTGATCTTTTCTCCAATAAGTTATGATAAATTGAAGCATGCATTGGCACAAACGAATGCCGTGGTTGCTAATTTTGAGGATTTGTGAAGCCCTAAAAAAGATGTTTAAGTGAAAAGACGAAGCGTTCAACTTTTGATATAATGTGATATATTGTTTACTGGAATCATGGACAGAACATTAAACCAAAATCATAAAAAAAATTTCAAGAATGAAAAATCTCTCCCACTGATGCTGACGTTGATTGCGGGATAAAAAAGAGGCAACCTCAAACAAAGTTCGTATCCTTGGACTGTTAAGAATAAAAAACACGTGTGAGTCGGATTGACCAAATTTCAATCTGCTCTTCGACTTGTTCTGCAAGCCTTCGTTCATTTTATTTTCCTCTGCCTTCGCAGTCGCTTCTAATAATCAAAATTAATTTTTTTCAGGCTCACATTCAAAGAAGTAAAAAGTGTTCCAGCACTCATAAAAATGGTTTCGGATCGATTTAAAATGATTTTAAATCGATTTTAAATTGATCAAAATTGATAAGCAATGTACATTTTACGAACTTAAATGGATTTTAAATCGGTTTAAATCAATCTTTTTTGGAAAATTTTGGATCGGTTCAAGTGTCTAAAAAATCAATTTAAATTGATTTTTTTTTGCTAACACGGCAAAAAAAAATTGAACTTGAAAATATGCATTGAAATTTATCAGTTTATGGGCAAAAATCTATGTAAAAACTCAGGAAATGGGTTTAAAAAATCAAGTTTTGGTCTAGAGAATAGGCAATTAAAGCTAAGACATCATGAAAATAAAAACTTATGAAACGAATCCAAAAAAGGATCAACATAGATTAGATTTTGAACTCAAGATATTTAAAGAAATCATAGAATATTATTGATATTATGAAAACTATTCTGTCTTTTTATTATGCTACTATACGCTATTGATGTTCAATTAAAAATGATGGGCAATAAATCTTTAAAGCACCTTAAATGCAATACAAATCGAAGCTGATGAAATTCAAACGAAAAAAGCCGATTTAAAAACATAAGCCCTCCAAAAAATAAAAATAAATTAAGACAGGAAAAATAGAATTAAGCAGATTTAAAATCCATTTGAATCAATTTTTTTAGCTGGGGTTTAAGATCAATTTAAATCGATTTTAAGTTGATTCAAGTCAATCTTCATCCTTTTCATTTCAATTTTGTACTTTTTTCAAACTATAATTGATCTAAATTTAATCTACATACTTTTTTCATACTAAAGTCGATCCTTATTCATTTTTGTCAGTGCGGGTTGGGACACAAAAAAAAACGTTGTTAAGCCGGAAAGATCGCTATTAAACGAAATGGTCTGACTTCAAACGTATCTAACGTCTCTATTCGCCTTTACCACTGTACTTACTGAGTTTAGTTCGGGGGTGGCTTTCTCATAGAGTAACTTCGGACAAGGTACACCGTCTGTTCGTCACGCTATCTTATTTTCGGCCGGATAGATTCTTGCAACTTCTAAGTCTAATACCAATCCTAATCTTACTCTTTTAGTTCCGAGTCTCAATAAATCTAGATTATATTGGTATTCTTAAGAGGTTAGAGAAGAGAAAAAGGTAACTGTTTTCAATCTGTATTACGTTTTCTCTGATTGAACCTATGAATACTTTCAGCTCTACAATTTATCATAAGTTTAGTAATGGATCATGGTTGGTTAGTTCTAAGTATTTTACAGTGATAAAAATCAAGGTATATAAAAATACTTTAAATACTTGTTTTGAACTGGTTCCATATTGGCAGATTTCAACTCCAAAAATCAAGCTTTCATCTGATAGCTACTTAGTCTGAACATGGCAAGGACCTTGAATCTAAAGCACAAACCCTTGATTTCTAGATGAGTTCAGTCAAAATTCAACGCATTAAGTAACCATTGAGCTTGAGTTAATTTAAAAAGTAAGATTAGGTCCAAGAACATTAAAAAAATCAATGACTTCAACTGCAAAAACTCAGAAAAGGTTTGAACTGATGTAATCAACCGTTGGACTACCAACAGCACTGATATCAGTAGCCCATATCCTGCTATCCTGTTTTCCGTGTCGCAAACTTTTTCCCCCGTCAGCCCTACGGGGTAGGCCGAATTACGATTCTCTACC